GTCTGCCACACAATAAATTAGTGGTGGTGAATACTGATTTGTTTGACATGGTCTGCCACACAATAAATTAGTGGTGGTGAATACTGATTTGTTTGACATGGTCTGCCACACAATAAATTAGTGGTGGTGAATACTGATTTGTTTGACATGGTCTGCCACACAATAAATTAGTGGTGGTGAATACTGATTTGTTTGACATGGTCTGCCACACAATAAATTAGTGGTGGTGAATACTGATTTGTTTGACATGGTCTGCCACACAATAAATTAGTGGTGGTGAATACTGATTTGTTTGACATGGTCTGCCACACAATAAATTAGTGGTGGTGAATACTGATTTGTTTGACATGGTCTGCCACACAATAAATTAGTGGTGGTGAATACTGATTTGTTTGACATGGTCTGCCACACAATAAATTAGTGGTGGTGAATACTGATTTGTTTGACATGGTCTGCCACACAATAAATTAGTGGTGGTGAATACTGATTTGTTTGACATGGTCTGCCACACAATAAATTAGTGGTGGTGAATACTGATTTGTTTGACATGGTCTGCCACACAATAAATTAGTGGTGGTGAATACTGATTTGTTTGACATGGTCTGCCACACAATAAATTAGTGGTGGTGAATACTGATTTGTTTGACATGGTCTGCCACACAATAAATTAGTGGTGGTGAATACTGATTTGTTTGACATGGTCTGCCACACAATAAATTAGTGGTGGTGAATACTGATTTGTTTGACATGGTCTGCCACACAATAAAATAGTGGTGGTGAATACTGATTTGTTTGACATGGTCTGCCACACAATAAATTAGTGGTGGTGAATACTGATTTGTTTGACATGGTCTGCCACACAATAAATTAGTGGTGGTGAATACTGATTTGTTTGACATGGTCTGCCACACAATAAATTAGTGGTGGTGAATACTGATTTGTTTGACATGGTCTGCCACACAATAAATTAGTGGTGGTGAATACTGATTTGTTTGACATGGTCTGCCACACAATAAATTAGTGGTGGTGAATACTGATTTGTTTGACATGGTCTGCCACACAATAAATTAGTGGTGGTGAATACTGATTTGTTTGACATGGTCTGCCACACAATAAAATAGTGGTGGTGAATACTGATTTGTTTGACATGGTCTGCCACACAATAAATTAGTGGTGGTGAATACTGATTTGTTTGACATGGTCTGCCACACAATAAATTAGTGGTGGTGAATACTGATTTGTTTGACATGGTCTGCCACACAATAAATTAGTGGTGGTGAATACTGATTTGTTTGACATGGTCTGCCACACAATAAATTAGTGGTGGTGAATACTGATTTGTTTGACATGGTCTGCCACACAATAAATTAGTGGTGGTGAATACTGATTTGTTTGACATGGTCTGCCACACAATAAATTAGTGGTGGTGAATACTGATTTGTTTGACATGGTCTGCCACACAATAAATTAGTGGTGGTGAATACTGATTTGTTTGACATGGTCTGCCACACAATAAATTAGTGGTGGTGAATACTGATTTGTTTGACATGGTCTGCCACACAATAAATTAGTGGTGGTGAATACTGATTTGTTTGACATGGTCTGCCACACAATAAATTAGTGGTGGTGAATACTGATTTGTTTGACATGGTCTGCCACACAATAAATTAGTGGTGGTGAATACTGATTTGTTTGACATGGTCTGCCACACAATAAATTAGTGGTGGTGAATACTGATTTGTTTGACATGGTCTGCCACACAATAAATTAGTGGTGGTGAATACTGATTTGTTTGACATGGTCTGCCACACAATAAATTAGTGGTGGTGAATACTGATTTGTTTGACATGGTCTGCCACACAATAAATTAGTGGTGGTGAATACTGATTTGTTTGACATGGTCTGCCACACAATAAATTAGTGGTGGTGAATACTGATTTGTTTGACATGGTCTGCCACACAATAAATTAGTGGTGGTGAATACTGATTTGTTTGACATGGTCTGCCACACAATAAATTAGTGGTGGTGAATACTGATTTGTTTGACATGGTCTGCCACACAATAAAATAGTGGTGGTGAATACTGATTTGTTTGACATGGTCTGCCACACAATAAATTAGTGGTGGTGAATACTGATTTGTTTGACATGGTCTGCCACACAATAAATTAGTGGTGGTGAATACTGATTTGTTTGACATGGTCTGCCACACAATAAATTAGTGGTGGTGAATACTGATTTGTTTGACATGGTCTGCCACACAATAAATTAGTGGTGGTGAATACTGATTTGTTTGACATGGTCTGCCACACAATAAATTAGTGGTGGTGAATACTGATTTGTTTGACATGGTCTGCCACACAATAAATTAGTGGTGGTGAATACTGATTTGTTTGACATGGTCTGCCACACAATAAAATAGTGGTGGTGAATACTGATTTGTTTGACATGGTCTGCCACACAATAAATTAGTGGTGGTGAATACTGATTTGTTTGACATGGTCTGCCACACAATAAATTAGTGGTGGTGAATACTGATTTGTTTGACATGGTCTGCCACACAATAAATTAGTGGTGGTGAATACTGATTTGTTTGACATGGTCTGCCACACAATAAATTAGTGGTGGTGAATACTGATTTGTTTGACATGGTCTGCCACACAATAAATTAGTGGTGGTGAATACTGATTTGTTTGACATGGTCTGCCACACAATAAATTAGTGGTGGTGAATACTGATTTGTTTGACATGGTCTGCCACACAATAAATTAGTGGTGGTGAATACTGATTTGTTTGACATGGTCTGCCACACAATAAATTAGTGGTGGTGAATACTGATTTGTTTGACATGGTCTGCCACACAATAAATTAGTGGTGGTGAATACTGATTTGTTTGACATGGTCTGCCACACAATAAATTAGTGGTGGTGAATACTGATTTGTTTGACATGGTCTACCACACAATAAATTAGTGGTGGTGAATACTGATTTGTTTGACATGGTCTACCACACAATAAATTAGTGGTGGTGAATACTGATTTGTTTGACATGGTCTGCCACACAATAAATTAGTGGTGGTGAATACTGATTTGTTTGACATGGTCTGCCACACAATAAATTAGTGGTGGTGAATACTGATTTGTTTGACATGGTCTGCCACACAATAAATTAGTGGTGGTGAATACTGATTTGTTTGACATGGTCTGCCACACAATAAATTAGTGGTGGTGAATACTGATTTGTTTGACATGGTCTGCCACACAATAAATTAGTGGTGGTGAATACTGATTTGTTTGACATGGTCTGCCACACAATAAATTAGTGGTGGTGAATACTGATTTGTTTGACATGGTCTGCCACACAATAAATTAGTGGTGGTGAATACTGATTTGTTTGACATGGTCTGCCACACAATAAATTAGTGGTGGTGAATACTGATTTGTTTGACATGGTCTGCCACACAATAAATTAGTGGTGGTGAATACTGATTTGTTTGACATGGTCTGCCACACAATAAATTAGTGGTGGTGAATACTGATTTGTTTGACATGGTCTGCCACACAATAAATTAGTGGTGGTGAATACTGATTTGTTTGACATGGTCTGCCACACAATAAATTAGTGGTGGTGAATACTGATTTGTTTGACATGGTCTGCCACACAATAAAATAGTGGTGGTGAATACTGATTTGTTTGACATGGTCTGCCACACAATAAATTAGTGGTGGTGAATACTGATTTGTTTGACATGGTCTGCCACACAATAAATTAGTGGTGGTGAATACTGATTTGTTTGACATGGTCTGCCACACAATAAATTAGTGGTGGTGAATACTGATTTGTTTGACATGGTCTGCCACACAATAAATTAGTGGTGGTGAATACTGATTTGTTTGACATGGTCTGCCACACAATAAATTAGTGGTGGTGAATACTGATTTGTTTGACATGGTCTGCCACACAATAAATTAGTGGTGGTGAATACTGATTTGTTTGACATGGTCTGCCACACAATAAATTAGTGGTGGTGAATACTGATTTGTTTGACATGGTCTGCCACACAATAAATTAGTGGTGGTGAATACTGATTTGTTTGACATGGTCTGCCACACAATAAAATAGTGGTGGTGAATACTGATTTGTTTGACATGGTCTGCCACACAATAAATTAGTGGTGGTGAATACTGATTTGTTTGACATGGTCTGCCACACAATAAATTAGTGGTGGTGAATACTGATTTGTTTGACATGGTCTGCCACACAATAAATTAGTGGTGGTGAATACTGATTTGTTTGACATGGTCTGCCACACAATAAATTAGTGGTGGTGAATACTGATTTGTTTGACATGGTCTGCCACACAATAAATTAGTGGTGGTGAATACTGATTTGTTTGACATGGTCTGCCACACAATAAATTAGTGGTGGTGAATACTGATTTGTTTGACATGGTCTGCCACACAATAAATTAGTGGTGGTGAATACTGATTTGTTTGACATGGTCTGCCACACAATAAATTAGTGGTGGTGAATACTGATTTGTTTGACATGGTCTACCACACAATAAATTAGTGGTGGTGAATACTGATTTGTTTGACATGGTCTACCACACAATAAATTAGTGGTGGTGAATACTGATTTGTTTGACATGGTCTGCCACACAATAAATTAGTGGTGGTGAATACTGATTTGTTTGACATGGTCTGCCACACAATAAATTAGTGGTGGTGAATACTGATTTGTTTGACATGGTCTACCACACAATAAATTAGTGGTGGTGAATACTGATTTGTTTGACATGGTTTCTCACACAAAAATGACATTTTTTTTTTTTAACAATAATTTTAATGTGAAATCCATGCAATCACAACCATAGTACAACATATATAACAATTCAACAAACATTATATCTCTTTGGCACATTTCATGTACACTCATTAGAACTCTCATAATAACCTAACTATTTTACATGTATAATTAACTTCTACACTTCAGCACAATATACTAATGTAACACTTTGACAAAAAACAGCTGTCTATACTACCAAATCACAGCAACAAAATCTAGTCTAACAAAAAAAAAATAACATTGACTTGAACACCTTACTAGATTCTAATAGAAGTCTAAAGGAAGATAACTTTACATTTGAGTACAATTAGGAATTTAAATCAAAATTATCAACCATAGATAAAAATGTAATATAAAATTATACTGACTAAATCATTCTCCATATTTTGTATTCTCATGTTCATATTGGGGGCAGAGATGATTAGTCCTATATTTGAGATGAACTGTGCAATGGTCACCAGATCAGTTAATATTTTTTAGGAGAGGGGATTTTGTTCAGACATTTCAGTTAATAAAGAATGCAGCTTTGAAGGATGTGGTCAGTATTCTCTGGAGAGACTCCACATGATCATGTTCTGCAAGATTCAAAGAATATTGTCACTGGGTCTTACATTCTGTGTTTCCTAATTAAAATAACATAGTAACTTTCTTTTTTAATTGCAAAGTGTAGAAAATATTGACTAGATATCTTATTTCTGTCTCAGGGATAATGTACATATTTTAGGATTGTAAAATTGCATTTGATATTGCAAAATCTTATTAAAAATTTAAAAAAAATCTTTTAACTTATTATTTTTTTGTTTAATCAAAAATAAAATTGATCAGTTAACCTGATATAATTTTTGGCTTTAGAAATGACATGTGACATTTGTTGATTAAATTTACATCCATTAAAAAAAATGTCATGTATATATCTAATAACATATATGCTTTCATAATGAGGCTTTAAAAATGTAATTTTACAATTTCTACAAAAGTAACTGTAAACCTTTATAGAGTTGAAATGGTTATCTAAAAAATAAATCTGATCTTCATAAAGTATACAGAACCATTGCCCACTCCTATACCACATCTTTATATATGAAATAAAATACAAAATAACAAGCAATTAAAGCTACTCAATAACTAATACATATGGCAGGTAAAAGTGAGATTTTTCTTTTAAAGATCTTTGTTAAAAAGAAATCCTTACAACAACTAAATAAGAAAATTTTCAGAACATAACAGATAACATTGTACACAATATTCTATATAAAACCCAAGTCTCAAATAAACAAGATATGATTGTAATAGATGATTTATTATAACACTAGGACCAAGACAAAAAAAAACATGAACTATATTTTTTTAAAAAATTTTTCCTATTCATCCAGGAAAAAATAAAAGCTACAAATTGGGTCTGACCAGGTTAATTTATCTGCTTACAATTACACATAGCAAGCAGACCAGTTTTAACCTAAATGCATTCAAATGTTTACAATAAAATGACCCCCCCCCCCCTGGGGAATCATGTTTGAAAGAAATCACAATTCTTCTGCTAAATCTCTTAACGAAAAAATCTCACAACTGCATTGATAGTATGGTTTATATTGGACTATAATGGAACTACAGTATAAGACATCAGTAAAACTAACTTACACCGGGATGCATTATATCTGGGCAACTTGATATTACCAGTAAACATTGATTACCTCCTAACATTATAGTGTAGGACTTAAATATATCCCCAGAAAAGCTTGAAGACTCCCTCTCTCTTCCCTGACCACAAAGAAAGTTCAAATTATTCTTAGATAACTATTTTTGTGAGCAAAGGATGGGGGTGGGGGGAGGTGGATAGGGAAAAGAGGACGTTGGCTACAAGGGTTCTCAATTGACAGCCGAAATTAAAGGGCTCGAACACTTCTGTATTATGGCACAAAAATAAAAGGGGGACAATATAATACTGGACAAAACCTGGTTTACATATGGAAATGATGACTAGTAAATGAAGTGGGCAGTAAACTGACATACAAAAATTGTGGGGAAAAAAGAATAAGACAATAGTTTACACACAAAAAAAACAGACAAGAGAAGAAGAGAAATGACATGAAACAAGTTTACAAATGCCACACAATAACATTTCTGTTAAAAAAAACATTTCAAATTCCTTGTGACAAATTAAAAAAAAAATTCCTTTTACCATTTATACCATAAAGTATAAAAAAAATGTCTGAATTTGTGTAGAGTATAATATTTATACATGACCATTACAGGGTCCAATATGTCATTGTCATTTATCTTGCAGATGGCATTGTATGTCACATCCACTTGTACATTAGCTGAGTGCCACATTCAAAAGGAATCATTTGAAGTGAAAGCATATTGTTTAGGAAGTGATTCCGCCATAGCAAATATTTTTACGGACCAGATACTCGTCTAGACCATACTTTCCTCCTTCTGAGCCCAGACCAGACTCCTTCCATCCACCAAAAGTGGATTCCACTGCGGACACAATACCTTCATTCACACCGACGAGGCCGTACTGAAGTTTCTCTGACACTCTCCAAGCCTGAGCAATGTCAGTTGTGAAAAAATAGCCTAAAAAAAAAAAGACAAAGTTTTCAAAAAGAGCAATAAATATGTTATATAAAAATGTTAAAAAGGAAATCAGGCTGTTAAACCAAATTACCATTCATATTATATTTAAAAATATGCATGAAGCAATGTTATAGTTAAAAACAAAATCAAATTATCCATAGCACACATGTAAACAAATGACCCCTTAGCTCTTGATTGCAACTAAAAGCACAGAAAAAAAACAAACTTTTCTGATTTATTTTGCAGTGTAATAATAGCAACAGACCAATGTTGTTGAATCTGACAGCATAGAAAATTAGTTAATTACCCAGCATTTCTTTTGTGTAGCATTGATAGGTAATACGATTTTTTAAAGAAAGAAAACACAATTTCTAATTTAAAAAGGCAGACAGTCAACTTACTAGCTAGGCCAGCTGTAGTGTTATTGGCTATCTCAATGGCTTCTGCTTCCGTTTTGAATCTGGTATAAGATTAAGATATTGTCATGTATGAAACTTATGTCAACAAGCAAATAGTGAGTGATGTTTCGTCAATCTATAATGAAATTATGTTACTATGATCCCACCATACTGAAATTAATCCATTCCAAGCCTTTTTTTTTTAAAATCACATTATCACACTTGAATTTTTTTTTTCTTTCTCAACCTCTGTCAAAGTAGACAACCAGTGTCATTTATATTTAAATAATTATTTATACATTTCTTTCTTTAAAATACGTTTACTTGTTGTGCATCCTTGAACAATCATATAAACTAAATACTCAATTATTATTATTTATTTAAGAAAAGTTAACCAAAAAAAAAAGTAATTTAAAAGGCAGTTACTTGACAATTGCAGCTACCGGTCCAAAAATCTCCTCTTGGACAACTCTCATGTCTACTGTAACATCTGACAAGAGAGTGGGCTCATAGAAGTTACCTCCAATGGCAGCGTTCTTGCCTCCAACAATCACTTTGGCACCACAAGCAACAGCATCTTTCACAAGCCCATCCACCTGATACAGGAAACACAAAAAATATTCATTCATCAAAATTTTTGTTTAGAAATTCATCATTTAATCATACAATTATTATTTTAATAACATGTACAACAATACACTAAAACCACTCAAAATAATGACATTTGTTAGGAATCCAAATTTGAGCTCAATAATTATTTAAAATTAAAGCATAACAACAGAAGAATTTGCTTAATAATAGTGGCAAGGACCTAAAGAGAAACTCTTGCCAAAGACAGAAAAAAAAAAAGAAATGAACATTTAAATAGAACCCTGGGGAAACATCAGCTTTGTCTGCATTAGATGCAGGTCGCAACTAGATTAGTGTGGTCATGTGAAATTCTGAACTCATCCTTAATGTTAGGAACCAGAAACAATGCCTTAGTAATACCAAATGTTCTAGTAAAAAATGCTTGTCCTTCTTCTTCGCTCTCTTTTTCATGTTGGAGTGTTCAGATGACTAGACCAATATATGAGATGAACTGTTGGGGCTTTCAGATGACTAGACCAATATATGAGATGAACTGTTGGGGCTTTCAGATGACTAGACCAATATATGAGATGAACTGTTGGGGCTTTCAGATGACTAGACCAATATATGAGATGAACTGTTGGGGCTTTCAGACGACTAGACCAATATATGAGATGAACTGTTGGGGCTTTCAGATAACTAGACCAATATATGAGATGAACTGTTGGGGCTTTCAGATGACTAGACCAATATATGAGATGAACTGTTGGGGCTTTCAGACGACTAGACCAATATATGAGATGAACTGTTGGGGCTTTCAGATAACTAGACCAATATATGAGATGAACTGTTGGGGCTTTCAGATAACTAGACCAATATATGAGATGAACTGTTGGGGCTTTCAGACGACTAGACCAATATATGAGATGAACTGTTGGAGAGTTCAGATGACTAGACCAATAAATGAGAGGAACTGTTGGAGAGTTCAGATGACTTGACCAATTAAGAGATGAACTGCGCAGTGGTTTCCTAATCAGGCAGCTCTCCATATAGTTTTCTTTTTATTGGGGTGTTTTGGGGCCAGTCTTGTGTATGGGCCTTTTGGTAAAGAGAGCAGTTTTGGAAGACATGGTCAGCATTCTCTGGTGATACTCCACATGGGCAGATTTCACTGGTTCAAATTTTGATCTTCCGGTACATGTTTTGTCTCATTCTGTTGTGTCAAGTCTTGAGTCGAAAGATTAGACGATCTTGTCAGGATAACTTATAATAGGCATCATCTTTCTTGTGATTTGGATGAGAGCTTGTCCAGTTCTCATTTTATTTACTATTAGTTTCTTCATTTCTTTCGGATAAAGTGCAAAGTTTAATTGTGAGTTTGTTCTCCCACTGTTGGCGAGTGTGTCAGCCTTCTCATTTCCTTCTAGTTCTAGATGTGCTGGTATGAATTGCTTGTCCAAAAATGTCTTTATATAGATATAATGGTTTATTTTTAATCACACAGGGTACCATGGTACACATTTTGAACTGTCAATGATAAGAACTTGATTGCTGTCATCCCTTGGGCCTAGAGTGCAAACATTTCAACATGTGAGTTCAACTATATCACCATGAATATCAATAATTAAAATGTATTCAAATAATTTCTTTAAATATTTTCCCTTCTTTATCTTAATTCTGTCAGTACATGTTGACAGAGATATGGACCAGTATCTTTAAGAGGAATAAGGGCAGGTACATGTGGAGATATGGACCAGTATGTTTGAGAGGAATAAGGGCAGGTACATGTGGAGATATGGACCAGTATGTTTGAGAGGAATAAGGGCAAGTACATGTCCAGATATGGACCAGTATTTGAGAGGAATAAGGGCACGTATATGTCCAGATATGGACCAGTATCTTTGAGAGGAAGAAGGGCAAGTATATGTCCAGATATGGACCAGTATATTTAGGAAAATAACTTTGCTCATTACCTTCTCCACAGCCCTAGAGTTGATCAGAGGTCCTTGATTCACTCCTGGCTCCAAACCGTTTCCAGTTTTGAGAGTACTTTCTATGGCTAGAGCAAGGGCATGGACAAACTTGGCATAGATTCCTTCCTGTACCAGGACTCTGTTAGCACAAACACAGGTCTGTAATGAAAGATGTGTGGCCGAATCAGAATTAAATGTTATGTTTTACAAAAAACAAGTTTATTAAGCAAATGTAATATTATCAACTATAATATAGAGTGATATACATTTAAGGACAACTCAAAACTTTTTTTTTAGAAATAAAAAAGAGAAAAAAAGTACAATTTATGTAAAGTAGATAATTATTTGTTAGGCACTTTCGCGCTGTGTCTTATGCCGTTAAGTCAAAGGGAGGTGACTCTAAAATAGTTAGTTGATGCTGATCTTGAATATTGAACAAGAAGTGTAATAATAATGAAGGAAACCATCAAATGTCGGCAAGCTAAATCTCTACGTTCATAAAAAGCTCCTCTCTCTAAAGCTGTCAAAAGTATTTTGCTTACATACGTTTTTATTTCACTATTCTTTCTCAAAACTAGTCTAGTTTTTACTAATCACGTCATTGTCTCTAAGTTAAAACTTCCCCTATTTACGAAACAAATTACTCATTTCTAATCGTGTCATAACATATTCAAA